TATAAAGTGCCTTAAGGACAAAACACATGTGTTAGATAAGCTCGGTTCAGGCAGGGGTTACAGAGCTTTTGGCCGTGAGTTCAATGCTAATGAATTGACGGTATATTAAGTAAAATGTCTTTAGACAGAAACACACATAAAGCAAGGTTATGTATCATTTGGTTGACAAAAATGTTGTGATCAGAGGCTCACAGGAACCTACCCTATATTTCCCCAGGAGCCACGGTTCAGTATTCACGAATTCAGTGTTCTCAGTGACTGAGTAGAACATAACGACTGTGAATACCGAAAATCGAATGTATAAATGTTTTGTTTAAGCTGAAAAGACAGCTAATGACTGTACATATTTAGACATTTTGTAAAATTATAGTCAACCCAAACAAAACAAAACTACTTTTATTTAATTTTGGAAGGTACTCTCTTCTTTTGTTTAGGTTGGTTTATTTTAGCAGACATTTGCTGGTGAACATGTCAAGCAAATCAGGCGCACTTGAGTTAGACACAGTTTGCACCCTGAAGGAGCTTCCCATCTGCCCTGGGAGGCCATGAGATAAATGCAATCAACAGTATTGACATTAATCCATACTCGTATTCCTGGAGCAGGTGACAAATAGAGACAGAGAAGGCCTTGGATCTTCCCGACTACATCAAGAAGTGCAGCCTGGGTACAGAAAATAACCATGGAATGTCCACAGAGCTGTTATCTACAACATGTCAGCAAAGGTTAGCATTGTGTTAGAGCGCCAAGGTTTTACAGATGGAAGGGATATTAGGTGCCCATGTGAGATAAGGACCCAAGTATGGGTAGACATAGAGCTAGAACCAGAAACCAAGTCCCATGGCTCAAGTTGAGTCCTCTCCCACGAAACCATCTATGCTCTATGTGTTTAAATTAATTATGGGGGCTTGGGCTTACAAATGAGCGCATGTTCCAGAATTCCACTTAGCTCTGATGTTTAGAAATCAGTCTGAGGTCGTTCAAGGATGAGCTCCAAGAGGTTCATTGATTTCATCTGATTCTCAAAGGAGTTCATAATTCTAAAATGTATCAGTAGTCTGTGCATATTCAGAAGCTGACTTTGTAAATTAAATAGTAAACTGGATAGTTGACTATCGTGCCTTTGACATTGTGTTTTGCACCTCTATCGATTTAGTAGATGATTTTTTTTTTTTTTAAGAAAATGCTCATTATTGGTTAGGGTATGGTAAAACAAACCTACGTGTACAATCAGTGGCAGTATAAATCAGTAAAAAATTTCTAAAAAAGACATTTGGCACCTTTTGAACCAGGTACCAAATTTGCCCTTCATGAATCTATTCTAATGAAGTAATTAGAAACTTTGACAAAAAATTATGTATGAAAATATTTACAGCATTATTGCTCAGAATATGAAACTAAGCATCAAAGTGAATGTCTTAAAGTTGTTGTTTTAAAAATGATTTAACATAATGAAAAACTCTATGGTAAGACACCATGTGAAACAAAAATTACAACATATATAGTGTAATCATTA